CTCAATCTACGGCTCATCTTGCTGCGGTCTTTGGAGTTAGTGTTAAAACAACATTGAAGCACTTGTGTCAAATCGGAAAGATAAAAAAGCTAGATAAGTGGGTGCCACACGAACTAAGCGACCATCAGCAAGACTTACGCATCGAAGCATGCATAGCACTACTGAAAAGGCATAGAAAAGAGGAAATCCTGAAGCGAATTATTGCCTGCGATGAAAAGTTGATCATGTACTAGTACGACAACTGTAAGCGTTCGTCTCAGGGGGTGGACCTGGGTACAGCACCTAATCAGTGCGCTAAAAAAAAGATTACCTATAGGAAGATGATGGTAACTGTCTGATAGACCAGCGCCGGACTTGTACATCACAGCTTTTTACTGAATCAGTCACGGCGGCTGTCTATTGCCAAGAATTGCAAATAATGATGGAGAAGCCCCCAATTCAGCAACCACGACTGGTCAATCGCTCTTCCCATTGCTTCTCCACGACAACACGCGAGCTCACACTTCACGATATTCCATCGCAAAGCTACAAGAATTACAGCTGGAAGCTCGCCGTCACCCACCGTATCTACCGGACCTTGCCCCAACAGATTTACACTGTTTTTAAATTTAGACTATTTTCTGAGTGGCAAAAAATAACACCCGTGAGACAGTACAAAAGGCTTTCGCTGACTTCATCTCGCCTCCCGTCCAGTAGACTTCTCCAGTAAAGGGATAAACAAACTGCCACTAGTTGGATTAGCTAAAAGAAAAAATATCCAAAATTTTGATACAAATCTCGAACTCCATAGGTAAAGACCTAATATTTAGACTGCATCATCAGTTTGTACCGGCATTTAAATTTTCGGTTTTACAGAGCAATTTTGGGTTTAGTTTTGGTTTTAGCTGGTGATCATTCCAAACTGTAGCCGAAACCAAAACCAAAATCCCGTTTTGACACTAATTTATAAACATGTACATATATTAGCAATGATGTAAGTTTAAATATAATATATGATTTATATTTATTTTTTTATTATATATATATATTTATTTTATTTATGTATTTATGTACAAAATATTAATTAAAATAATTATAGATAGAAATTTCCAAAAACCCTGGTTCTTACAAAATAAAAAGATCAGATGCCAAAACTTCAGTTTTGTAGGCCCAGCGGTTTAGGCTGGTAATTAATTTATATCTATGGATGGATTTTAGGATAGGTACTTAATGTATATGGTGATGTAAGGTTCTAAGTACACATGCAAAGTTGAAAGCAGTTTAAAACGACGTTCCCCAGCTAGTATGCCAATAGAAAGTGACGAGTTCACTACTGGAACGAGAAGTTATGAAATTTCAATAACTTCATGCTTGGCTGGATATAAATTTAATTCGTATCTCAAATATGTGTGATATTTAATATGAAGGCAGGAAGAATTGGAAATAAGTGATATTTTTTCAAGTCAAGTCAAGGTTGTCACTTTCCATCACTTGATGGAAAGTGACAACCGCCGCCCATGAACGCCTGCGACTTAGGAGTCACAAGCGCGTGTTACGAATATGTTCAGTTTAAAGTATGGAAAAACGGACGGATATAAACTGCTAGTTCCTTTTTTATATGTAACTTCTTTTTAACCGACTTCAAAAAAAGGAGGAGGTTCTCAATTCGACTGTATTTTTATCTTACTATTCTGTAATCTGGGAAAATGATTTCGTGGGACGAAAGTATGTAACAGGCATACAGGAAAGCACGTTCGCGTCAGTTGTACGTTTAACCTACATTGATGTTTATATTCTTATAGTATGATGTTGTAAACTAATACGTAACATTTTAAATAAAAACGAACAATTGAAAACGTGAAAATTGTTTTATTTTTATTATAACAGGAAAAAAGGTTTTCTTTGGATTCGAAAAGTTCCGACGTGGATATATATCTATGTTGTACGTATATACACAATATATGTTTATATTATATTTAGTTATATAAACAATGTATTTCAAGCCAAACTCAACTGTCGTGTAAACGGGGCCAAGTAGTCGTGTAGATAGTTATATACAGAGGTGTCGGTAACGGTTACAGTGTCGGGAGAGCAATGGTTTTTCCTATCTCATAAAATACATTATTTTGTTTGTTGTTCAAAAATGCCCAACGCGTCTAAAGTAGATTTCACTTCAATAATAATAACCTCAAACATCTCACACACGGGCTGATTCGAAACTAGGCAAAGCCTGTGCTATGGTAACCAGACTGCTGATAAACACACTTATATATTTCTAAATACCTACATATTATAGATAAATTACACCCAAACATATAACAAATGATTGTACTCATCACACAATATTTTCCTGGGTGATTGGACGATCGAACCCACGACCACCGGCTCCCGTAAATAACGCGTTATAAACAGCTTTTTCACTCAATAAGCGTTTTCAGTTTTTAAGCTTGACATAATACTCGTAGATATGTATAAGTTGTCTATGAATTATATTATGTCAGACAAGAATATTTCCTTATTTCTTACTTGTCAGTGAGCGATTTCTATGTAATATCATCATCATAATCATCAACAGCCTTTAATAGTCCAGTGCTGGACATAGGCCTACTGGTTTGAACTAAATAGTTCATTTAGTATTAGATAGTCCATTCATCGAAGAAGACTATAGGTTATTATAACATTACCCTACGACCAATAGAAGTTGCGCTGGTCAGTTTTTGTGTAATTCATCATCAGCCTTTACTAGTCCACTGCTGGACATAGGCCTTTCCTTAGAAAGGAGGTATTGGCCTACAATACCACGCTGTCCAGACGGGTTGATATAGGGTTTGTTTAAAGTTTTCATTCTCTTTGGAGTGCTGTTTTCCTGCGTAGTTTGTTCCCTTAGTAGACTCTTACGACACCCACGGGATGAACAGGGGTAGTGACACTCAGTATTCTGAATCCGTCACCACACGGATATAATAGGCTGTTAGTTAATAATTTTAATTATCTTACTCAGTTTTTTAAACATACATAGCTTTACTTCCTTACTAAAACAGATACAACATAAAAATATCCAAATCTTCTTCTGCTACGTGCCTAGTAATCAAGTCAAAGCTCTAAAACTCTTCACTAAATAAGAATAATAAAGACCACCGAACTCTGTTGGCTCCAAAATGTTCATTCGACTACATTTCCTCAACCGCCTGTTTTGACATTCAACAAAGGTAACCAATTTTGTAATGCCACTGTACAAAAATATTGCAAAAGTACATCTCGGTTTATCCAACCGGAACGTTGAGTTTTCAAGAAAATAATTATACTTAATTGTTTTAGTATGCTGTGAAGACTTATGCTTAGATCTTTTTTATAATGATATAGATATTTACTTTCGTAATTTAATACATCTCAGTCGCAGCCTAAACTATGGTAACCAGACTGCCGATAGACACACTTATATATTACTAAATTGAAACATTTTATATAGAAATTACACTCAGATAAAGAATAAATGATCATGCTCATCATACAATTATTTGTCCTGGGACAACTATCGAACCGACGATCTTCTGCCCGACCAGTCAGACCAGTCGATTGGACGTAACTTGGAATAAATTTCTGTAGATTATTCTGCAAATTCATAGTGTGATGTTAATAACCTTATTTTCCTTGACAGTTCAAGGAAAACCAGGTTATAATATGCTATCAACGATGTACCAAAACGGCTATAAACGAAACTTGAGTTAATTGTTTGTAAACTAAAAACTTTTACGAATTTAACTTCTAAGTATCTTTTGCATAGTGGAAAAGTGAATGTACTAGTTCTGGCAGTCTCAGATAAAATAAAGTCTTATCAACACAGAAATAAGGTTGAAGATAAAGGCAAAGTTACATAGAGCGTAGCGATAGCCTCGCCGTTATAAGAGCTGCCATGTTGAAATATTTTCCAATAAATGTGGTAAATCAATTAGACAGATGAAATTGGTTTTAAGTATAACTCAAAAATTAATTTGTTGTCCTGATGTTTTTTTTTATGTTTAAGGTCCTAATCTATAATTATTTTAGATGGCAAGAGAACTATTTTCGAAACAACTACTTCATAGGTACCTACTAGTGTACCCTAAAATAGAGCTTAGATTTAGATCTTATTTCTGCACTGTTGGGTTTAATATTAAATTGACAAACAAGCGAGCAAACGTGGTTTCGCATTGTCTAATCTTATCATTATAACCAGAGTTGACGCAAATTGACTGAATCAGCAATCAGAACAAATTAATTGAATAGACATAAAAAAAATATGATTAATTTATTAACATATTGATAAATCATAATTCAAATAATGTATGGTACATTATTTGAATTATGATTTATCACCATACTATAGTGTTAAATTATTATAGATGTTATGTTATAAATAATACCATACCATACCACTATTTTTTAAATTAATTAATTTTTAAGTAAAGAAGAAGAGAATGAATCAATCTCAAAAATAATGTTATAAGTTAACTTTATCTTATAAAAATAAAACGACATCAAACATAACATTACTTTTGTTCATCAACGCCTCAAAAATAAAAGAAAACGTAAACGTATAGGTAATGGTTTCATTTAGTTTCAGGTTTGCAAAGATGTCAAAACACAAATACTATTTCGAAATTTTCATTGACTATATAAATTGTAATAGATTATTATCATTTAAAGAAGTACATCTTGTTCATTAATTATACAGTGAAAACTCTGTTGAAACTAGCTTGTTAAGTTATCAGTGCTAATATAACCATTACATAATTATAATAGTTACCCTAGTGTAATAATTAATAAATTATAAGGAAAATAATTATCACGGAATTTTAATTTCCGCTTCTAGCAACATTGAAACCCCACTCGACCACTGACCGCGAGCGCGCAGGCGTCGCGCAATCCCCGTGACATTTTATAATAAAAAATATTTTTTAAAAGTTTATTGTGAACAGTGAAAAGTTTTCAATTTAGATTTAATTTTCTTTTAAGTTTAGAACATAGCGTTTTAAGTTAAAATGAAGGTTTTATGTGTGATGGTTTTAAGTGTCGTGCTGGCCGTTGGAGCGCAAACCTTGGCCGGTAAGTGAAAGGGTTTTTTTTAAAATTTAAAAACTCGTTTTGGCGGACGGCGCTCTGTTTTGGCGGTTTATCGTAAAAATTAAGGTTACCATGTTATTTGTTGTGTAATTGGAGTATTATTATTACATAGGTATTGTTACAGTTTGTTTTTTTTATACACAGCTTTTTTATTACGCCTTGTTAAAGTTATTAATTGAACTTTAAGACTAGGAAATCCCAATAGAGGTCCTGATAAGTCCCGATAATATGGGTGTTAAACTTAAAAGCTAAGAATTTGAGATAATGATTTTTACGTATGTTAAATTAGAATTGAGTTACAACCTATTAACCAACTTAAAAAATGAAGATTTTTATTAAAACACATGTTTTTCTTTGTTTATGTGTTACAAGTTTCAGAATTATTTTAATGTTTTTATTCTTTAATAAAAGATCGACGTTTTCTTGAAACCGTTGTATTACCTAAAAGTTAAAAAATAAAAACAAAATAACGATGGATAAATAGAGAATCAAGCCTGTAATACCAATATTTAGGAGTGTTCAAAAAATATTTTACCAGGATGTAATCCATCAGTGCATTAAATATTTTATCAAATTTTGTTAGGCCATTTTGGCAAAAAATTAAATAAATATACGAACTTACATATACACTATATACTTAACTTATACATTTATAACATTACTGGCAAAAGTACAGAGACAATATTTTTTTAATCAATAAATTTAACGAGACATTTAGTGGCGATCGAATTTCGACTATTATTCAATAAATTTCCAGTATAAGTTGAACTGTCATTGTATAGACTTTACCTATTGCGGTGGGTCAGCATATATATAGTCATCATCAGCCTTTAATAGTCCACTTCTGGACATAGGCCTCTCCTTAGAAAGGAGGTTTTGGCCTACAATACCACGCTGGTCAGACGGGTTTGTATAGGGTTTGATTCAAGATTTCCTTCTCTTTGCAGTGCTGCTTTCCTGCATCGTTTTCTTCCTTAGTCGGTTCTTACGACACCAACGGAAAAAACAGGGCCAATTAACATTCATTTTAATTTCACACAATTGTTGTTTAAAAGAGTTATCTTGCTTTCAGTTATTCTTTATCTACATAAAGTTAAATATTCGAATTAAACATACCTGCGAGTGTAAATTTACCTTGAAAATAAACCAAAAAGTTCACTTCACGTACTCTAGATTTTTTTACGTTTAATTCTGGTCGCTGTAAACAATATGTAATCTATATAGATAAATAAAATTGAAGTGCCTGTTTGTAATGTCAAACTAAATATATTCATGCTCACACGGTTTTTTGCACGATATTTTTGCCTAAAAATCAGTTAAAATATTTTTTGTCCGTTTGTCGTTTTGTTCCGGGTAATCTTCAAAACTACTGGACCGATTTTGATAATATTGTACTACCGGTTGCTGTCTAAGTGTAACTTAGGCTATTTTTCCTCAGAAAAACCTTATAAAATTATGCCCGGTCCGGGTATCGAACCGGCACCCTCATGAACTGCAGTCGCGTACCGTAGTACACTACTAAAGCAGCGCTTTTCAAATTCCGCGAAAGAAACGTTAGAAGAAAAGTTAGTAAACTATAATCATGATTATAAATTCAGATGCCAGTTCCTTAATTCTGCATATACGTTTCTACGTTGTACAGAAAAACGACTGCACGGATAGCGTAGTGGTTTAAGCCGTCGCAGCGCCGCTTCCTACTACCACGTTACCACCACCCCATATGGGACGACACTTTGTGTGATCCACAAATTGTTGTTCTGAGTCTGGGTATTCTTTGTTTCCGGTTCATGAATGTTAATAAAGACCCTCGCGACACAGGATATACGCCTAATGCGGGAGTTGTCTTTAAAAAAAAGGAATAGGAAGACAGCAAATTGATTGCCTGTAATGTACATTAAAGCGTAAGAAGCCGCAGGTGGAAACTGGTATGTGATATATTCAATATTATGTAAATCTATTGGTATACCGTTTGGTAATCTAAACGCAACACTATGCTAAATAGCTTAAAGGTTACATTTAGATTGATAATAATATGTAACAATTGTGTAAACTACACTTAATTTGCGTGTTTTTTTTTCTATACGACTGTGGTTACCTAAAAGTCGGGTTATGAGTTCGACCTGTATGTATGTAGTCAATATGTTTCGTTGTAACTACTTACCGGCTGCAACAATTGTGGTGAATGACGAGCTGCGACCCGCGGTGTTACCCGCGGTTGTTGTTGTACTTTGCTCATCTCACTGATTATCTTTTTAATGAAATAGGGGGCAAATGAGCAGACGAGTCACCTAATGGTCACCACCGCCGCCCATGAATGCCTTCTTCAACTCAGGTTACCTTCCTACCTTCTAAACTTGCTATGTGTTTTACTACCATATCCTTATGTTTAACCTATAAATAATATATATATAACCCAAATTGTGAACAGGCGTTTTAATCGCTCACATTTTGTCGGTTGTAATTTAAGTCCCACCCACGTAATATTAACAATATCTTCATACATCTCACACGCGGCAGTCTGATCCCAAACTAGGCAGAGCCTGTACTATGGTAACCAGACTGCTGATAAACATACTTATATATTTCTAAATACATACATCTATACTTCCATACTTTTATTATAAACTAGCTGACCCGCGCAACTTCGTCTGCGTCTCTCAATAGTAATAAATTTTCTCCGTTTTTGAAACATTCTTCATTGGTGCTCCGCTCCTATTGGTCTTAGCGTGATGATATATAGCCTATAGCCTTCATCGATAAATGGGCTATCTAACACTGAAAGAATTTTTCAAATCGGACCAGTAGTTCCTGAGACAAACAAACAAACAAACAAACTCTTCAGCTTTATAATATTAGCTTCAGCTTTATTATATTTATAATATAATATGAAAGTAAGTTTGTTTATTTTTGAAGTGAAAACTTCTTTAGCGGCGTTGTACACTTTTTTTGTACACGGACACGTGACCTGATCGAAAATTCGTAAGACGTTCGTTTAGGCGGCGCAGGGCGCTTGCGCGAATGTTCGTGTGTGTCAGAAATGCACAACGTTAATGTTCACTTCACGTTCAAGTTTTCACTTCTGCCGGCACTCCCGGAGTGCAACTCGTCGTTTTTTATAATATTTCACTAATTTAAAGCTACATTATCAGCGAGTAAAATAGGCCAACTCTACAGGCCAGTCTAGACACGTTATTATCAGCAATTTTTTACATACATTTAATCATTGATTTTGATATCTTTTTTTATCATATTGCGATAGGTAAACAAAAGTGGGTGAAAACAGATTACTTTGATAAGTATAAATTTCGCAAAAGTTCTATGACTAACCTAACGTGTGACCTTCAGCAATAAAATCGGTCACCCATCTAAGGGGACAACTTACATTGTATTGCTTAACATGGGCCCGCGCACGACATCGAAGTTCTTTAACAATAGTAATACGTAAGTCCTTCGTCTATCGCCAGTCTGTACGTGATATTTTTTTAAATTCATATGTAAAATATTTTTGAATAGCACGCACGATGTATTTTTTAAGGACTTGTCTTGACTTGTCATCTTTATTAAAGTTTTTTATGAATACAGGGTCTTAAGAAATCTATACGTAAAAAAACCTTGCCATGACTGACTTACTGAGTCATCAGCGCAGAACCTAAACCGCTAGGCTAAGACCTTGAAATTTTGGCAGCTGATGCTTTTTATGTTGTAAGCACCCGCTAAGAAAGGAGTTTTAGTAATTTCAGCTCTAAGGAGATAAAATAAGGGAGGAACGGTTGTACGAAAGTTCGTAATTTTCAATGTTAGAAACAGGAAATAAGATATTTTCACACGAACGAAACCGAAGGCAGTAGCTAGTGTTAAATACGAGATGAACGAAACACAATCAAAAAAGCTATATTGAATTTTCGAATAAAAAAAGATCATAATGTGCCTTTTATGACTTTGTTTGTGAACTTCTAAATGATAACCATTTATTAAAAAAAAAAACAATTTAAGTCATCATCATTAGAATCATAATCTTGGCCTCCTGATGATTTTATTTAGAGTCGGCGCAATGTATTCCATGTGGTACATCGTAAAACGGTTTTAGCAGGTTTCTTTTATTGTCAGGTCAGTCTTATCAGGTCGTTAGGTCAGCTGGGAATTAACCACCGGCTTAGCAGTCAAGGTCACTAACCACTAGACCAACAGGCCCGTCAAATGAAAAAGAAGTGATAAAAGAGAAAGAATAGAAGAACCGAAGTGGCTCCAGGTGGCACAATATCGTGATAAATGGCGTACATTAAAGGATGAATACACCTGAGGGGTTGAAACAAACTGAAGAGAGGAAGAGAGAGGACTCTTTAACACACAATTTTCAAGTAAACATTTCGTTTATTCGTTTGTTAAGTTAGCTAAGTAACGTGCATTAGAGAAAGTTGCCTTGCAGCGCGCGCGGCGCTGAACGACACACTTAGGAACAAATACAGCGCGTGAGTCATTACACAGCAATTGTTTTAACATAATAGCGTGGAGTTGTGGGGATGCGTTCTGTAATCAGGTCGATGTTACACTTATGAATAACTAGCTTATACAGGCGAGTTGGCTCTCATAAATGTACATATTCACGCCTTTATCTATTAAGAGGTAGGCTGATGCGTATACAAACTTGTAACCTTAATCAATACTTATATTATAAATTGCTGAGACCCGCGGTGTTACCCGCGTTTGTTGTTATAACCGCGGGCAACGCCGCGGGGCGAAGCTAGTCTAAAAAAGTAGCCTAAGTTACTCCTTATGTCATCAGCTATCTGCCATTTTAATATTACAAACAGACATTCCAATTTTATTTATTTATTTGTATAGATGTGAAAGTGAGCTCCTTTGTTAATTGTTAAACCACTAAACTGATTTAAAAAAATCATTCACTAATGGTAAGCTATATCATCAGCGAGTGACATGGGCATGCGCATATGCATAGGCACGTACTTTGGCGGAGTCACGGG